ATATATATATATATATATATATATTACATAATCCTTATTTACTTATTAGACTGCGAATTTTATATATTTATAGTCTGTGATTCAATATAGCAACAAGTTTAATGCACATTAACACTATTTTTATTTTATTTTATTTAACATAACTGCTAGAACAGTAAACAAATTTTTTTTCATCCTATTATCTGTAAATTAACACTCTCCTTTTTAACTGGTTATGTCGAATATGTATACATATACGCCATGGCATATTTGCATTATGAAAGTTTATTAAAATAATGTTTCAGAAATTTTCTGAACACCTTTAATTCTTTCGAAATGTATCATTTTACCTGTATTTCTCGAAATGTGCAAAATTTTTTGCACGTACGTACAAGACACCGTTGAAAAATTCGTGCCACTGTGGACTGCATTTTCAGTGACGGGGTAAAAGATTGATGTTTACTTAAACGATTACAGTTTATCAATTATTTTGTGTCTAAACAATAGTGAGCGTATTTTTCAATATACATATGTACAATTTTTTAAGCATTTCCTATTCAATCCTAGATGACACATATCCCTAGATCACAATTCTATCCCGACGACTTAAAAAAATTATTACCAACATCTGAATACGCACGATTCAACAGGAGCTCAAAGAAAAATACGGGGACAAACGTCCTACAAAGGGAACGACACAGTCAAATCTCGCAGCGAGAAACCATTTCCCCCGTTCGAGGACACGAACTTTTTTAAATTCCCGTCGCGTAATCTATTCACGAAACTTCGGTGGCACGAAAGGGTCTTGAAAGCAACAGAACGGAAAGAAAAGAGAGAGAAAGAAAAAAAAACAGCGAATCTTTATCGATGCGCCGCCATCGTAACACGCTTTGACTACATGAACACACATTCGAATTCGTTGTTTCCCGGCCGTAGAACAGGCTTGAAACTGGATCAATATTTTCGACCTGGTATTCTCTCTTCAGGACAAATACATATTTTCCGCCGGTGCACGTAGAGACCGCCCTGGTGGATCGCTCCGGTATCCACGGACGTAACTTACTTATTCTTTCTTTTATTTCTTTTTCTTTTCACGCGTATCGTTTCATTTTTTCGTTTTCTTCTTTTGTTTGTCGGAAGTCACGGCAAGCTGCGCGGAGGAGGTGCAAAATAATCTGACCTACGTGATCAGCCCCGGTTTCCCCAACCTCATTGACTGGCCCATGAACTGTTCAGTGGTCGTACGGAAAATCGATAGGCAGGTCAGCCAGCTCAGGATCGATTTCGTCCACTTCAACATAGTAAGCCACCACGCAGCTCTATCATTCTTTGCTCCACTAACGGCATATTAACCCCGGAATACTACGCATTCGTGATTTCAGCGACACGCTTTTAGGCCTCCCCCGCCCCCCTCCCCAACCCCATCTCTATGCCCCTGGAGGAAACGCTGGGGACTCGCGGAAGTGTTGATCCTTAATTGCCGACCGAGGGGTTCACCAACCGAAATACCGTACCGACGGTGTCCCTTGGTTCATATTATATGACCCCTCTGGGGGAACTTGGCCGCTGTAAAATTCAGGCGTGTCAGCGCATGAAATTACGTCGTTGTAAATTAATCGAACAACTCGGAAGGGGTGGGGGGTGAATTTTTAAGGGGTTGGTGCGGGGAAAATGGTAATCTCGCGGATCCTTTTACGCGCGACGTCGTGACTCACCTGCGGGTTCGACGGAAATATGTTTGATTTTGAAGAGCATTTGCCTTTCCTTTGATGATTCAAGAGTACAAATTTTTCAAGTTCGTGCTGAACTTTAGGACATTTCGAATGAATTATTTTGAAAATATTTACGGAAATAGAGTAGAAGGTCGATTATCAGAAACGCCGATCATCCTAAATACCGATTACATTGTTCCACAAATTTTAACCTTTTTCCTACTTCATAACCGTTCAGAAGCGATTCTGATGGATCTTTGTGAGTTGAATATTGACTGCAAACCGTTTTTTCTTAGCACGTCTAGTTTTTGAAAAATTTTTGTTCTAAAAATTGACAATTTTCAACTGTGGAGGTGTGTTGTGCTTTTATAGTAATAGTTATTCAGTTTTTTTTTGTCATGAAATAATTCTCTGGATTCTCAAATAAATGGAAGAATGTCAGCTAAAAGTACGTTTTCGATGTCCTTTTCACTTTGATCATTATTTAAACATATTTAGATATCTACGTATAACATAATTACAATTCATATCATTCTATTCGCGAGACTCCAGAGAATTACTTCATGACAAAAGAAACTGAATAACCATTACTGTAAAAGCATTACACACCTCCAAAGTTGAAAATTTGTAATTTTTTAAGAAATTGATTTTTTCGAAAACTGGACGGACTGGGAAGAAGCGGTTTGCAGATTCGTATTCAGCTCACGAAGATCTACCAGAAACGCTTCTGAACGATTATGAGCTATTTTATGTGTTGAACAGTGTTATTGGAACAGAAAATGGGTTATCAATGATTTTTGAAAGTTTCAGATTAAAAGAAACACAGAAAAACACCCTCCATTGCTCTTAAATGAGTTTATAGTGAATTATTTAACACTTTAATTGACAATAAAACATATTGGATTTGAAATACGTAAAGATAACTGAAGATATAAAATTGTAGACGAAAATGATATTTTTTCATTTACTCTTCTTTAAGAAAGTAATAACAAAGCTGAAGGAAAAATAGTCGTTACAAGCCGTTTGGGTATTTATTTGTGTCATTATGCGATCTTTCATACAATAAATATCGATCTTTCAAAATTACTTTATTTCTAATCGTTTTATGATCTGTATTGAACTTTGATCCTCCTGGAGCAATTATCCGAAAAACCGCCTTTCCGAACGGATTTGCCTTCCTATTAGTTTGGATAATCGGCGTTCTACTATAATACTTTTCAAATTGCCTCCTTGCATAAATGTTAGGTTTTTAAATAATCTTAACATAGTTCTCGGTATTATCATATTTGGAATGCATTGTCACCTGTGTAATTGACACGTCTAAACAGTAATTTATTTGATTATTGTAAAAAGAGAACAAAGGTTATTTATTTCAAGCAATGTTTTGTACCTTGAACTTGTATAAATTGTGTAGTAATATTTTTATGTTTAAAAATGATATATGTGACTGCAGAACTGAATAAAGGACGTTTCACTGTAAACAATAAAATTTCTATTGAATAGCGAAGTTCTTGAGTAACACTTCACATTGAAACAAATTCAAGTCACAGTGAATATCCTAGAAAAGCAACATTATAGTTTGAGATATCGTAATTTTACGTAATGTTGCGTGAATGTTAAAGTAGCTTACGGGGGGTTAATGACACCTTAGCTGTCTTGTCATAGGTACATATACCTGGGCACGTAGGAGTGGATGTACACTTTGTACTTGACTTGATACAATGTGTACGTATATGTGCAAATTTTTGAAATTTTTTATTGGTTACTGCAAAAAATGTAAATATTAATAATAACCAGCAATTAAATATTAATAGTAAAATACATTTAATATTTGTTGTATTTTTATATTATGTTCATATTAGTATTCATTACACACATTAATATTAAATTTTAATGTTGTACTTTGTTTATAATCAGATTATCAATAATGCTGTTCGGAGTTAATTTACGTTACAGTTTAAACGAAACATAATTGAAAAGTATGTTTATTCTATTCGGATAATCATCACATGAAGCTGTATGCAATTGTTATAAAGTATATCGTTCCAAAAACATTTAGTAACGACTAATACAAACACAAGTTTTCTTTGTACTTTAATATTTGAGTAACTATGTTTTACGTTTTTTCACATTTTGTTTATGCTTAACTTCTGTCCGTCGTATTTATTACTTACTTGTTTATGATAATATATGACGAAACATTGCTGTGACAAAATTTTCCGCTTTTGAAAGTTCTGTGTAAAAATTACTACTTTTTGAGTACATGTCAATATTGTTGGGAGCAAAAAGTTGATTAATATTCAGATGATCTATCAATAAAATATTGTCGATTTGTTTGTAATTTGGTCTACTTTATTTTTAGGTACTAATTAGGAAAAAACTAAAATTTTGTAATCGGTTCGATTTAATTTTTTAATTTTATACTGATTTTAATTATTATTACGAAAAACGGTGTTATCTAAGTAAGTACATGACATTTAAGATTTCGATAGTCATGTTTAACGAGAAGAAAATGAATGCGTAGTATTCGGATATTTTACCTTTACTAATTACTAAACATAACATAAAATTATACTAAGAAGGTCCATTTACTTACGCAAAATTTGAAAATGTGCAATACGATCATTTATACATAATATAAAAACAAATATGATTCGTTTTATTTCCATGCATTTGTAAATATTCCCAAACGTTCTTCGTTGTACATTTTAAATGCTTAATATGCAAAAGTTACAATGACAGTAATAAAGTTATTAATAAATGATATATTAAATTGTCATCGACAAATGACATGTTTCATCGATTTCACGCGTTTTGTAGCGAACATTGCGTCAATGTAAAAGTTTTGATGAATGTTCTGTAGATGATACGATCGTCATGATTTTATGGAAAGAGTAAACAATTGAGTTAATATATTACTATCTGCAGATGTCAATGTAAAACGGTGAATTGTTGTTTAAAACAAACATTGACGCGATGTGTGTTATTGTTTAAAATATAATTGAAATTGACCTTTTGACAAATAATTTGAAAATGAAGAAAGAAACGTTACAAGCATCGTATAAAAACATTTCTGATTTATTTGGAGAATTTGTTATGTCAATCCACCTCTGTGGTAAACTGTGTAATTTATTAGTATAATGTAGTTACATAAATTCAATGATAATAATGATCCGAAAATTTGTTTAGTAGAATAAAAATTTCGATCGAAAATATATATTTTATAAAAGAATCATTATGTATTTCATTAAATTACTATTAAGTTATAATTATGTAAAACTATGTTAACCCTCCGAGCACGGAAACATGGTCACCGGTCCCTATGTCATTTCTGACCCCACACCGATATTCTACTACTACAGAACGATGGCGAGGCTCGAGCTCGAGGCCCTCACCGAACTGTACTAACACAGTGCCAGTATGGCTCGAGCTCAAGCCCTCACCGATATTACTACACAGTGACGGTTGCTCGCCGACGGAGCTACCGTCACCATGTATACAATGTAATGATTAGCTGGTTCCACATTACATTTGGATTTTCGTGATTCTTATTACACTAACTAGAATAAAAATCTCGCGAATTATAAAACAAATTATATTTATTAGCCATTAGGTGTTGTTTTACACGAACTACATGTAATCGTACTCTCTATAGAAATGTTTCATTATGGCGCTATACTAAGAGGAGTGTGCTGTCAATTACGCCCAAATACAATTTCAGTGTCATTTATTGTGTCGTCATCGAGTTCTGACTCTACAAGTTCAGGCTCAGCATCATTATTTGATGCAGTGCCACCATCCGATGACTGATTGTCTTCACTGTCTTCTCCGAAACATGCACAAACATAGTTTTTGCTTGTTGAAGGAACAGACATTTAGTCAATACAGTCAATACAGTCAAATAATAAGACAATAAAACGAAACAATTGAAAAATAAAAACAACAAACACAAGAAACACAACAATGACAGAATAACGAAAACAATACAAAATACACTCTGTTATAATATTTGAACTAGGCACAAGTATCTTCCTCCTTCAGAGCGTTAGAACAAACTGATTTGTCACATCTCATCGCCTGTTGCTGCAGTTTTGATGCGCGACCTTTTTAACGAGCTGTAGAAGTTTTGTCAGCTACAACAAAGAACAGTCAGTGGAAAAGAAATAGGGCGTGAGCCGAAGATGTAAGTCAATACTTCTGCGGTGTTTTGACCCGGTCGTTGGCATGTAAACAAACATCGGTCGCTATGCGATTTACACGAACAGCTCTGTCACTGTGTGCGTGTCGCTCTCGAGACCGCGTGTCCCCACTCCTGACTCTGTCACTGTGTGCATGTCGCTCTCGCGAACGCGTGACCCAGGGACCGTGCTCGGAGGGTTAATTTACTATTTTAGGGCAACATGTATCCATACTTTTGCACTCACCCAAGATGTGATATTAAAAATAACCCAGTATCGGCTGGGTAAGAATGAAATGGGCATTTATTTACTTTATGTAAAGAATTTTGTAAAAAGTAGTGAATTACTTAGTGGTGCACTTAATACAATTAAAATTCTAAAGTTCTTTTAATACTTCACAGTAAACGTTCTAGAAATTAACAACTAGTCAAAGAGAAGGAAGGGTATTTTATCACACTAATTAAATTTACCTTTTTGTTGGTTTGTGTACTCCGTTGATTGCGGGGAAAAATCTACTAACTAACACAGACTACAGCAAAGAACAAATTGTCTATCATTAGAGATATTCGTAAATTAGTAGTTATAACAGAAGTTGTTCTTTGTAGTTAATTTTATTTAAGTCGAAAGTTTATAAGAAATTAGTACCAAATTTAAAAGTATGTGCGTAACTTGAAAAGTGCAACGTTTATTTGAGTTTTAAGGATAAATGTATTTTTTATTTCCTGTACTGCCCTGTAGAGTAACCCTTAACTGATGAAGTCGTAAATTTATTACTTATAAGTCTTATAACTTATTACACGAATCTTATTAGACAAGTTGTTTTGCATTCTCATGTAAGAAAAAATCGAAATAAATAAACGTTTTTTAAAATAATTGTTGGATAAAATTAAAATTTTCCAAAAATATTCATAGAGTTCCTTAAACCTTACTTCATCAGTTTAATGTTAAAACAAGTATCGACGTTGCAATGATACACGAATTTGATCTTAATTTATAAACCATCGACTAGAAAAATAATAAATGGAATTGGTCAAATAAATTCTCAAACTTGCATAGTACTGTTACCAGAGTGCGTTTTATTGTATTAAAATACAATTGAAAAGTAGCTTCTGTAAGTTTCATCATGATGTCATAGTGATGTTTGAATTTTCTAGAAGAATACACATTATACACACCACAAAAACCATTTATGACCTTTTTAAAGAATCTGCTATGTGAATATCAATCCGTAATAGACTGTAGATTTATTAACATAATTTAATTACATAAATTTAATAATAGTAGTAACAATAAATTTTGTTTACTACGTTAAAGAATTATTATTGTGTCGTATGAAATTATTATCAAGTTATAATTGTAACTATCATCAGTTTAGTCTTTTACAGTAAAACTCATTAAAACTTTTTTCACTTATCTACGATTACTCAAATAAATTGATTGACGTAATTACCTTTATTACGTGATAAAGAGAATTGAGTTAAAATAATTCTTATAATTTCCGCAAATTGACCGCCGGTTAATTAATCAGTCGTGGAAACACACTTTACCCGATCAAAGACGGCCATAGTCTACAGTTTACAGACTGCTTCAAGCTCTCGAATAGCGATATAGATACATACATGTGTATTGGCTGGCTGGTAAAAATCGCCCGCATTTACTGCAAGACTTGTTCATTCAAGAGACTTATCGATCGTCGTAGGGTCAACCTAACGCCAGGACGGGCGTATGTGACGAAGATATCATGGAAATCAGAAATAGCAGGAGCGTGTTCCAAATGTGCGGCTGGAACAGTGGCCAACATTGTAAGTACAGATTTCCATTTCTATTAAAATTTCTAATATGTGTCACCTGGGGTTTCGTACATAGCAGAGGGCAGTTGTACCCCTGCAGTAACAAGGCTAAAGTAATGCTACTAGGAATTGTATAAATTTAGACAATCATTTACAATTTGGCAATGCTTTACTATTATTCGAAGAAGTTATTAGTAGACTGCGGATTTTATGCATTAGTGGTCTATATGGCTCTGCAAAATACAACAAAAGACAACATTTTCACGAGATGCAACAAGTTTTCTGTGATTTTCTAAACTTAACAAGATATTTAAGAGAAGAAATAAACTCCTATATTTGTCATTATCTTCATAAATTACTTTATAAAATGTCACTTGGCATCAAAATCTGCAGTTTATATATTAGGTATCGCAAAGAGCTGTCGTTTCATATGAATGGTAATTCAGATTAAATGTTTCTTATTATAGGTTAAACAATATCGATATTGGTACAAAGAATATTCTACCTGGTTTCTATATACATTGCGTGGTATGATTATAAAACCAACCTAAAATTTTCAGTCCTTATGTATTGTGGTTAAAATAAACACGAACTATTTTTTTCTAGGGAATATAATCCATGCTTTTCTGGAGTCACATTATTTCTGAACACGATTTCAGATATGGCATACTTGGTTAGTCTTTATTTTAACCGCAATACATAAGAATTGGAAATTTTGGGGTGGTTTCATAGGCATGTCACGCAGTGTAGGAGGTACATATGTAGATTTCATTTTAATTTGTTCCGATACTGTATTTTCAGTAGACTAATTATAATTACTGAAGACAAAAATTTGTACTTCTCCAATTTATAAATTAATGATATCCAAAGTTTTATCAGATTTATGCTATAGTGTAAATAAACCTTTCACGCAATTACCATTTACTTTTACATAACTATAACAATTACTTACATAACAAGCGTTTTCAGGGCCCACTTCAACTCATCCCTATACTCAACCTTTTAACCGTATAACGTAATACACGAAACATTTCTATTATACATACATGTGAAATATAGGGGTTGGACAATATATGTATAACTGATTGATTTGAATGTGCCACCATTTTGTACTGATATATCGTCGTTTGTTCCGCTTTAGGAATTGTTTAGGAGACACATGGTAAATTAATCATGGAGCGTTACACGGTTCAAGAGAGAGTCAAAATTGTTAAGATATTTTATCAAAATAAATCGTCAATAATAGTGACTTTACGTAAGTTACGTAAAAATTTCGAACGTAATAATGTGTCGAGTATTAACACAATTCGTGCACTAATAATGAAATTTGAACAATGTGGTTATGCGAAAGATATGCCAAGATCTTGTTTGAACTGTTCGCCATCTGAGAGTATTCAAAAGTTTCTTGAAAGTGTTGCGCAGAATCCTGAGACCTCTACGAGACGTTGCACAGTGGGGTATTTGACCCGAAAAGCTGGCCAAAACCCCAAATTTTATTTTTGTTAAAAATGAATGAAACTTTGTCCCTATGCCCCTAAGAATGAATAAAAGCAAACTGCTATCATGGTTTTAGGAAAACAGCAGTATTTAGCAACAAATTGAGGCTTGAAAGTCAACAATTTTTGTGCTCGAAGAAAATTCCAAGAAACCTATATTAAGAAAGGGATTTATTACAAGTGTAGTGTTAAGGAAGTGCAATAAGACAGTGTTCTTTTTTTCGTAAAATCAAGTATAAAACATTGACTTATTTTTTTGCACCCCAAAGCACCCCTTTACTTTTGATATATTTTTATCCTTGAACATTGCTTCATATATTTCTTGAAAAATTAGGTGCTAAGAGGTGCTAAAACTACAGTTCTGTTCAAAAGTATTGCCTCACTTGTGCATTAGTGAAAAATTATTGAGATTCAATGTTACATAACTTTGTTAATATTTGTTAGAATTTGTTTAAATGAAAGGAAAATTAAAGCTTGAACCTTCTACTTTTTGACCCTTTTGTTCGATTTTATTTAACTTTGTGCCCAAGAGGTAAAATCTTCCTTTATAAGAGGGCCTTCAAATTGTAAAATTTTGTTCATATTTGAGAACGGATCTTCCTCATAGATAACAGTGTTCGCAGTTTTGGATGCAGTTTAGCTTGTTATGAAGGCAAAGGATCATACGATAGGCGTATGTTGTATGGTTGATCTGATGATGGGGTAATTGAGATGTGGATGATAGATCGATGAAGGACAGATATACCATAAGCAAGAAATACTGTCTGATGAAGAATCTTGCAAAGCATTTTCTGATTTTCTGACGAAAATTAATTCTATTATGTATTGCAAATAAAAAATATTCTTAAAATATATATTTTAATTTATATATTATATACCATAAATCAGAATATTTATGATCGTAGATACGATCGACCCGCGTGCATCCATCGCTGTCAGCTGATTGTTAACCTATTGTAAATTTCGTCTGTCAATTCTTAACGATTGAAGTTTTTAGTATGTTATTAACTTTATTAGGTCTAGTGTTCGTTGATGACCTTCTATTATATGTATAGATTATACTATATGTATATGTATACATATCTTACCGTACACGAAACATTTGAGAAATATAGGTTTCCTTTAAAGGGCTGTATCTTTGTTAAACAATACAGCTCTTCGATGAGGTTTACTTTATTTTAAAGACAAATGATCATACTTTCTGGTGGTCTATATCAAAATTGCAAAAAAATATTGTTTGCACTCCGTAGCACTTGACGAATGTCAAGGAAAAGTATAGTTTGGCACACTCCTATTTAGGGGTGAATTTTACCTTCTAGACAATCATTTTGATATAATTGATTTAAAGAACCAAAAACGAGAAAGTTCAAACTTTAAAATGGTTTTTGTTTCATCAACTTTGGATGAATAGTAACAAAGTTATGAGATTTTGAAGATTGAGTAAATTTTAAAACAGTTTTGGCCAGCTTTTCGGGTAAAATACCGCACTGTGCGTCGTTCTCAGAAAGTGAATATCCGTCGAACAATTTTATGCATCATTTTAATTGTAACTCTCAAATATTAATAAACGGTTTGCGTTAAAAAGAACTGTTGTGTTTTATTTTATCTAATAATTAATGATAATGCAGGTCAGTCAGTTATATGTATATTGTCCACCCTGTATTTGCAATAATTACAGAAAACACGATACTAATAGTTCGAATATAATTACTAGACTGTTTTTAGTATGCATTGTTGCAAATGTTTCATTTATGCATTTATAAGACTTCTTAATTTTCAAAGGTAGTAAAATAGACTCTTTATTGACGTTTAACACTAGAACTATCAAACCCGTCAAAATGACAGATTGCAGATTTGTTACTTTACTATTACTGAAGTTACAATGGTGTTTTTGGCGGAATTTATGTTGACTTTTAATTTACATACTATGAATTTTCTATTCCACTATATTATGCTAGATTGTATTATATATTATGAATATTACGATATTGCACATTTTAATTTAGAGTACATTCAACGCTGGTGGTTCTAGTGTTCAGAACATTCACATATTGTAATAAATTACATATAGTTTTGGTATTTACAAATTAGTGTTTGAAATTTTAAATTTGTACAAATATCCGCAGTCTATAATTCCTAATGAAGAAGAATAGATTTGAAATATTTCTTTATAAACTTTTTATTTCAACTTAGAAGTTGGTTCGTCAGTGAAAGTGTCAACCAATAGGTCTCATACAAAAGTAATTACAAAAGTACCCATCACAGCAAAAGATCTTGATTCAGACGTCCAAAGACTAACTTTACAATTTCGTAAGCTAATTTCACTTCTTCAAGATTCCCTATTCAATTGCGCCCTTCATCCTAAAACACTGCCCTCTGAAATTAATAAACTGTATCCATGCAATAAATCTCGGCAAGAACTCCGTCAGACGCGATTACAATGGCGAGCAATAACGTTTTCTCGGAATACCACGGGACAATCAATCTCCGCGGAGTGAGACCGTAACTTAAAAACAGGAAAAAGGAAGGATACGAAGTGGCGAGCATTGGAGAGACAATACTTTTCCGATCCTTATTCCAACTTCACCGTTCAGGAAGGTCTGACGTTTCCTGACCAATCGATCTTCCCTCTTGTACCAATCTCTTCGACGTCGAATCATCCGTTCAGATCGCTTTTTACAGTGTACATAGACGTCGACGAGGATGATCGGCCATTGACGTTGGACATCCGGCTGCCGAATGGTTTGCAGTCGCGAATGTGGGAGATACGGATCGTCCAATTGGCGTTCGAGCAACGAGCGCCGACCGGTTGCCGGCAGTATTACCAGAGCACTAATGGCACCCTGAAGACACTGAATTATCTGTCAAACGGGAGATTTCTCGCTGATCAAGATTACCTTCTCTGCATCCGCCAGGAGAGGGGAATGTGCGGAATCTCCTACGCCCCGTGTTCCCAAGACTCTTTTCGGATAGGTCCACCAAGGATGCAGATCACGGACACGAATGCCACGAATGGGAACGTGTCATCCATTTCCGAAAACTCGGCCGTGAACTCGACTGCTCAGAATATGGCCAACAATACGCATTCGGTGAACGATACCGATGGGGTGATCGAAGGATCAGGAATGGATCCTGCGGGCGAGGGAGCTGGTTTCTCGATGAACGCGTCGAGCCTCACGGAGCAAGAAATGGTCCCCAATATTTCGCTGTACGGGCAAGAACGGTGCAGGAACAGGGTGCTGATCCCTTGTGACTTCGAGGAATTTATTACGGTAGTATTTGTGGTTTATTTTGCTGGGATGGTGATAAACGGAGGATGGAAGTCGAAGTTTTGCTTCCTTTCCAATGGCAATCGAATTACCTTGGAGCTAATAGTTTGAAGTTCAGTCGCTTCGCGGTGAACTTCGCCGTTTGTATCGGTTGAAATGTAACGACTGGTTGGGTAGATAACGTCTTAAATAGATTCTGAAATGAACTGAAAATTATGGAATTTTGATAAATGTGGAGAAAGTATTTTGGTGAACAATGGGTTATCCATTGATCTTCAAACCCCTGAAAATTGAGTTATTTATTATATTAGGCTGTATCACATGGAATTGTCCATATTTGAGTAGTTTATGATCAACCGAGATTTGTAAATTGAATATGATCTATTGGGTTGGCAAGAAAGTAATTTCGGTTTTGTAGTGTGAAATAAAACTCATTTTTTTTATACAAAGAATAAACATTAATCAATTATATATTTTCCATTTTGTTCAATGACCTTTTGCCATCTTTCTTGCAGCTTCATGATTCCGCGCTCATAAAATTTCTAGTCCTTATCAGCAAAAAACTGAACCAAGTGCGATTTAAGGTCATCATCATTTGTAAAAGTTTTACCATTCAAAGAGTTTTGCAAACTTCGAAATAAATGGTAATCAGACGGTGCCATATCAGGGTTGTATGGGGGATGCGACATCACTTCCCAAACAAGCTCCAATAATTTCCCACGAGTTACTAAAAATGTGTGAGGCCTTGCATTATCATGGTGGAACACAATCCCTTTGCGATTTGCCAATTCTGGCCGTTTTTCTTTTATTGCTTCATCCAGTTTCAATAGTTGTTGACAGTAAACATCTGAATTGATCGTCTGGTTTCTTGGAAGCAACTCAAAATACACAACACCTTTGTAGTCCCACCAAATTGACAACATGACCTTTTTTTGATGCAATTCAGCTTTAGATGTGGATTGTGCTGGTTCATCACGCTTGGACCATGATCGTTTTCGAATAATGTTACTGTACATGACCCATTTTTCATCACCAGTGATGATACGTTTCAAAAAAGGATCGGCTTCATTGCGCTTGAGATGCATATCGCAAATATTGATTCGTTGTGTTAAGTGAATCTCTTTCAATATATGCGGAACCCAAATATGAGCTTCTTAGCGAGTCCAAGACAGTTTAAGTGATTTTCAATTGTTGTATGCGATACATTTAACCTCTCTGCAATCTCTCGAACAGTTATGTGACGATCCTCTTCAATTATAGCTTTGATTTGGTCATCATCAACTTCAGTAGGTCGACCAGAACGTTGGTCATCTTTGAATGAAAAATCTCCAGAACGGAATTTTTTAAACCAATTCTGACACGTGCGATCTGTTATGCAATCAACACCATAAACTTCACATATCTCTTTGTGGGCCTCAGCAGCTTTCTTTCCTTTACGAAAATAAAAGAGTAAAATATGCCGAAAATGTTCGTTTTTGCACTCCATGTTAAAATTGACCCTGAACTAACAGCTACAAACAAAAATTTGCACAACTTGCTTCTGAAGTAACCTAAATGTGACTGATATCAAATGTCAAAAGGAAAAAACCATAACGCAGACAGGAGTCCTTCAAAACGCTTACAACGCTATCTATGTGTCACAACCGAAAATACTTTCTTGCCAACCCAATATATATTTTGTTGTGCTTGTCAGAGAATAGAACATTACTGTGTTGTAATTGTGATTGTTTATGTAGGTATTCCACGTCAGTAAACAATTTCGTATATTTGTCCAATATGAATTTAATTCAGGTCATGGTAAAGTTAACTGAATTAACTTATGAAGTTTTGCCGTAGTCACGATATTCACCAGATATTTTCACAACAAAAGATCATTTTTTTGTGTTAACAGGAGCTCCTTCGGAGAAACAAATCTTACATGCTCTAAGAATTCCTTCAATCTACAAATATCAATATTTCTAAAAATGGAAAGTATCACGTAATATCTCGTTTGCAGGAAACTATTTAATTAAAATTATTTTTTAAAAAATAACGGTCTTCGTATCAGATCCGGTTTTGTACACATTGACACATCCGGTCTAATGTATAATATTATCATTGACGAATTAAATATATGAAAGATTAAATAATTTACGTAGAAATTAATATAAAACAGATAAATAATTTTTGGATTTATGTAAATTTCTTTCTTATGTAGAATGTTTTCGTAAGTCTATTACTGTGTTTTATAATATATGATAATTTTGTTATTACGTACTAAAAAGCAGTAGTAAGTGTACGTGTATGAAATTTTACGACATGATCTTAATAAATTAATAAATAGGAAATTATTTTAATAACATGAGCATATAAAGTATACTGTAAGACTTTAAGAACGTGCTTTTGAAACATTATGAAATAAATTAACAATGTTGATAATTTTGTGTAAAAAAAATTATTTTCGCTATGAATCTGATACAAACGAAAGGTAACTCAATTTTCACAGGGTCGATTTCATAATCATTTGTGATAACCTTATATGTACATACGTATGTTCTGAAGTTTTATAAAAATCATTAGACACGTAATCATATGACATATAATCAATAAAATCTATATCTTGACTATTCATAAATTGCTGAACATGTCTTAGTCGAAGCAAACAGGATTCTTCATTTAATTTTCTACAGTTACAACATACTGAGCAAGTAATTTTTTTTCTGTGTCTGTCTTTATTTATACCTAAAGACAGCGATATAATTACAAACAGAATTTCTGAAGATAATATCATATCATTGTTACGTTATAATACTTTTAATCCCCTTAAGATAATTTTAGTAATCTTTAATTTAATTTTTTTGTTGTGAGCACTTTGAAATACCTCAATAAAGTGATCGTAAAATGCTTTACATTAAAATTTATATTATAAAAAGTATTACCTGCGTGATAAGGTACAGTAGTGGTAGAAATTCTGCTTTCCTTTCTTAACTTTGTCCATTCTTCATGTCCGGGGACAAAGGACCAGGGCAATATGCTTAATGTGAAACCGTGCAAGCCATGGAGTGCGAAAATTGTGATCTAGATGTCGAAAAAAATAAGCAATGTCAGTTTCATTTTTAAGAGGACTTCTAATAGATCGGATTTAAATAACATAATATGAATATTATTAAACTGCATATTAAATTGAATATAATTAATTGCATAGTTTTGATCAAAAGAATACTAATATTTTTTACAGTACTTAATGAATTATGTTAACGTTTTCTGTAGTATTGTATTGAATTCTTTTTTAACAAAAAAGTAGTATTTCTTTTATTATTATACGTGTGATGTAAGTATTATTCTGTAATACTGAAATTATTAATCGACTACGGATGTTGATGCATTTATAGTAAATTTTCCCCTAAAAAATGCAATAAAAGGAAAACTTGAATAAAGTCGGGTAATATTTTTGTGTTATTATGAACGCAATGAAACATTTTGCGCAGAAAATACAGTGCCTGATTTTCATTTTTATAAATTAGTGTCTAAAACTTTGAATGTCTAATTATTGCGTCCCACCTTTTTTGAAGTAATTTGTTTGAATCTATTATTTAAAGTACAAAAGTTATTTTTTAAATTCGTGACTTTTTATTTAATTTTAACAGATTAGTTTGGCAAAGTTTTACAAATATAACTTTCACGTCATTTCTATAATTTTTCTGTTAAAATTGATATAAAAGAATAATAAAGGTATTAATTTCATTGTTTCAGACTGGAGTTAAGGAAGCAGTTTTTGTACAGTAAATTTAACACTTTTAGTTTATCGATGTTCTGACGATTAAATACGTCTAAATATTCTTAAGACATTAGATTGAATTGCAATTTACTGCCAATAATAATTCGACATTACCAATGGATTATTTAGAAGCACAATTATAATAACACTAAAAATGAATAACGAAGTACATGTGTATTACGTTACTACACAATTTATATCCACAGAAAAATTGATTATTTTTTATATATAAAACATATTTATGTGCTTAATTGTGTAGAGTGGACCGTTGTATTTTTCATTTGTTATATCTATTCTTCACGCTTAAGTAAGAATTTAATTACCATATATTAATTAAAATTGAAATACGTCACCCATAATCCCAACTGAATCACATTTCTGCTGGAAATTTTGGATATATTATAACAATCTGGATTGATATACTGAGAAAAATAAGTTATAATTTGACAAATAAGATGTAACTGTGGCACTGACAATTAATTAATCGCAAAGATGTATCTCTTCCATGAAATGATGTGAATATTATCATAAAAATTTATGCATTATAATCAAGCATGTGGTTTATTTATTTATAATAAAAGCAAACATGCAAAATAAGTTCAGTAAACACGGTCCTGCATTCAACTTTTCATTGTTATAATTTTTATTTTTGCTAGCGTCATTCGTTAAATATATTATTATCGTAAACATATTCAAGACAATTTCAACAAGCTTATTGGTTTGCCATACTATTATGACATATTTTCTATCGATAAGCAAATATCAGACGCAATAAATGAACTGGTTCACTCACATGAGAAGGATAATTGTAATCAAATGCAAAATAATTAATGCATATACATTCCTATTCATAAGTATTAGGACACTTAACAAATATGAAGTAAATTTAATAAGCCATTACAAAATTTTTGAAGGTCTGGAATAAATATTCTTTAGGGGACATTAAAGCTCAATGGACAATACTTATACTAATACAGGTGGGTTAAAATTCGTGATACAAATGAGGCCAGGGAGCTAGTACGGCTCAAAATAAGAAGAAAATCAAGAATAACGAAATTGCGTTTGAGGTTTCGTTTTCGAGATAATCGAATTTAAAAATCTGCTAGATACGCGTGCAAGTCAATTGGACTTTGCTAGCGCGTCTGTTCATTACATTCCGTTTCTACTTATTACCACGCCGAACACATACACGTGTTTCATATTAATTTTCAAATTCGATTTTCCCGAAAACGAAGCCTCCAACGCAATTTTGTTGTTATTGATTTTCGCCTTATTTTGAGTCGTTTTATCTTCATGGCCTAATTTGTGCCATGAATTTCGGTCCACCCTGTTTAAAGTAATAAAAGTAGCTAAAAGCATACTGGTCTAAACGTCGAAAGGATGGTATAAGGCAGGTGATTCCTTGTGCAAACATAAATCAAATTTTGAGAATAAAATTTTTTTCCTAGGCTTTTAAGATAATCAATTTGGAATATCTTCTTGGTACATGTGCACTTGAATAAGACTTACCTACCGCGTTTGGTCATTGCATTCTGTTTCCATTCATGACCAACACCCACACACGTTTCACGTGAATTTTCAAAGTTTACTTTCTCGGAAACGAAGCCCCAAATGAAAAAATTTTGTTACACACTTTTGATTTATTTTTGCACACAGAATAACATTCTGCACATTTGTACCGTCCTTTTAGCCACATCCTGTATACCTTTTATGAAACATATTTCGTCATACAAACCCAGTGCCCTCACACGAACAGAAATGTATACATATCACAATATGAATATTAAACTTTTCTCTCGCAGTTACTGTGCCCACCGCACTTATCCAAGTATGTATCTATTTTCTGAGTTGAAGCAGTTGTGTTGAGTTTTTATATACCAACAGTTCAAAAACACTCGGCACAACTATAAACAGTCGACCCAGTTAGGGTCCTTGGTATCAGAGTAGTCTTCAGCATGTCCAGAACTATCAAGCACCAATATAAAAGAGAGACTGATTTAGAATGGTGATGCAGAGCTCTAGGCAATGTTTGGGTTAGATATCACTGTCCTATTGTCATCATATCCTTCGTTGACCGTCAAAGCCAACCCTCTGTTTATGGTTCCCCTAAGTCGGTAGTCAATATATAGCGACCTCATAAAAATTTTTTGGACTGACCGCAGAAACGATTTTCACATATTTTCACTACGCGCTTCATAGATATTTTAACTGGATAAGCTTTAGACTTCTTCGTGTTTACAAATTAGGTTTTCATTATAGCAAAATGTGGTTTATATCGGAAACTCCCAAATATGGATTAGTGGAACAAAAAACGAGTGAACAAAGATGATATTGTTTCATCTATTTTTGTCGACACATGGAATTGTAGATTTCCTGGATCAATTACTCGAAATACTATTTATTAGAATTTTGTCTGTGTATTAGTTCGGATAATCGAGGTTTTACTATAGTTTTATTGCAAAAATCAGTGTCCCTAAACTAGAATTCAGTATATGAATCCAAACACTATCTGGGGCCATCGTGTAGCAATAGATGGTGGTTTTCAGGGGACTAATGTTACGAGGTCGCTATATTTTCTCCACCAAGTCTATATGATGGTCGTTGCATATGAAATGTCGCTGTATTCATTGGTATATTTGATTTCACTTTTATGAATGAAAACTATTCACAGGTGTAACTATTCGTATGTTCTGTTAGAGCCTCGTCTACTTTTTAGGAGTCAGTCTTCGTTTTACCAGTAAAGTATAACTTATAAGTACTTGAAATAAATTAATACAAATCTTTCCGTATATTCATAAAATGTTGTTTGCGGTTTTGGTACGGATTATTTTTGGTAATAGTGTACACTTTGGTTCCATATTTTAATGTGTTGAAAGTAGACCATCTAAAAAGGCAAAATATAAAAAGAATGTCGTAAACAGTTATAAGTACCTTTAATTTTAGCTTAGATTCGTATTATGGTATATTCTGTGTTGTACATTTTCAAAGCATTTACTGGTCAGAGTTGGTAAGAGCTAATTTAAAAAAAAAAATTTTTCAAAGTATTGTACTGATCAGAGCTGATTATGGGTTACGAATACTTATAACTGTTTGTGACATTTTTTCACACGATATTTTGCTTTTTCTAGATAGCCCCTCTCAACATACTAAACTATGAAGAAAGTCGAAGATACAGACCAAATTCGTCATTATCACCCTATTTTTGAATAAAGAAAATGTCGAGTAAAGAAAGTACAATTAATGTTTTCTAAAAGTAAGTATGAAATTTATAAATTCACCTCCAAGAACTTATGTTTCTAATATTACGTATATAAACGTTCGTGTATTTCTTTGTAGAACGCAAACAATCATGCTTCAACTCACAAAATTCATTGCAGATGAATAATTTCTAATATGCCCCTAAAAGACCGATACTTCATGTGAAACGACCGAATACTTACATTATCCTCCAAGAGTTTCAAAGCTGTCATGTTTTCTAGTTAAACAAATAATCTTTTGTAACATATTAATTTTGATCGCCTGTAAAAAAGTTTGTTGTATACTTTGAACAGTCTGCAGAAAAAAATTCTTTTTCTAGTCACATTTCTCAATAATTCTTTATTTTATCATATTCTGCTTGTGTGCGTGTTCTGTTATTTGTATGTGTGGGCCACACAATACTGGGAGTACTTTAAACCGAATGGAAAAATTTAGATAAAGATTATTTTAAGAAATGAATACATAGAACGCCCAAAAGTTGTTTGGAAGTTTTTAAAAATAAAGGTGGTCACTTTGATAAGGTAAAAATTCGATAAAGAGAAGTTCTTTTTTACTTTGAAGTTGGTTTTGTTATCTACAATATTTCTGTGATGTTTTGGATAAATTATATTTTTTAGTTCACGTTTATTACTTCATAGTAGTCTGTTCATTACCCATCGAGCTTTCATATACCCTAAACAATACTGTTTTAAGACTTTCAGCATACAATACTTATGCACGGGACTGTATAATAAGCATTTATAGTATACATATTAGCCTCTAATATTAATAAAAACATCTGTCTTTTTAAAATTCTATTCCATTGCTTCCACATTTCTGGACAGTAGTGTATGTACGTTGATGATAAAGCAAAACTTACTCACCTGTTTAATATGAAATTTCACAGTTGTGATCCAATAAGCTTACCCAATAAATAAGGTCACGAACACACTATGTTACAGCCTGGAAACAACGAAGCTGGGATTTGCAACCTCGAACACTGCGGTAGCTCTCTGTGCGATCAAAATCAGCTGGACGAAGAAGGGAACTGTCGCGTGGAAACTTGGGCAACGCCCTTTCGCATAAGAGTCGCTTTTGGTCCTGGATGGGACACAGGGACCACATTGGAGGACAATATTGGCATGTGCCTCATGTACGAGCAATTATCCTGCGTGCCCTGAGTAACTAGCGATGAATGAGTTTAGAAGTGGAATGGCACAAGAACTGAAATTCGTGTAGGTCAATTCAAACAGCCGTATCGTTTGTTCAATCGATTATAGCTAAACCAATATTTGAGGTGTACACTCTGGACATGGACTACGGTTTGTTCTCGTGACACATGTGATTTATTAATTTTTTTTTCAAACGGATAGTTAATTTCAGGCAGTTTTGTAATTTTATGGAATTATTATATAACTTTTAATTGTGGACTCTTTGGTCTTCTGTTTAGAGCAGCCATACTCAACCCTTTTTTCTCCTCGGGCCGCATATATGTATATTCTTGCTACGTTACGCGTACCGCAACATCCCTAGCAGCAATTACTGTTGGCATTTTGATAGGCCTTTGATGCACTATTAGTTGGCCAACAGTTAGAATTGTCACCTTTTTTTACAACTGGGCCAACAATCATACCCAACGTAGGGCCCACGTCACTATACATACTACGAAGGGCCAACTGATGGTTTCTTTCTGTAGGGCCAATTGTTGAGTATCTACAATAAACCAACAATTGGAAGACAGTTGGTTATACTAAACATCCATAAAATCCTTTACAAATATTTGAAGAAGTATTACACTGGAAATAATATTCATAATAATTACTTGTTATAATAATTATATACATGTATAAATTGTATATTTATATTAAACAGGTAAACAAGTGTTTTACCAGCAAAATTACCTTTACAATTTATTAGGTATAATTTATAGATGTAGCTAATTATTACAAATAATTATTATATTTTATTTCCAATCTTCTGTCCCCTGGCTCTATTTTCACAAAATGTCAAATGTCAAACGTGTTGCGCGACAGATTGACAAATTGTGAGTATATTCATAAATAAGAAAACAAAAAAATCAATTTGAAATATACTAACAAGTTTTTGGTTGTAGCAACGTGTCTGACGTCTTTAAGATGATATTTAAATGTTGGCAAACTTTAGGTGGGCCAATGTTGTATAATCGTTGTAAATTTCTTATTAATTAACCAACTATAATAATTGTTGACCCAACATTGGATATTCGTTGGCAAATTGTCATAACTTATTCGTCATAGGCCCTATTTTGGGAATATGTAGGCAAAGACACTAACTATGACCCAACTATGTAACTCCCAACTGTTGAATACCCACCCAATGTGAGCAGCACATGGGCATATTTTTTAACAGTCTTGTATTGTTCAGGCACCATTTTCAAAAATACCGCGTACTCCTTTTCCTTCTCTCTTTTCTTTAAAACTAACCTCCAGATTTGTATCGCTTTTGAACTCGATAAATTCGTCGAATAGCTTTCCATAATCATACCCCAATGCAGCTAGTTGTATAACCATAGCTGTTTCTAAGTGCCAGGGATTTTCTACAAGCAACAGATAATTAACAATTCATAAATCCTAAAATCTGTTCTTAAATTCCTCGGTTAAGGTAGCTAAATAATCTGAAATTATCGTATAGTTTTCTCGAAAAATGTCAATACCATTTGGTTTTGTTACGGTTGGAAAAGTAATAATGAGTGTGAGTGTTCCGGGCCGCATATAAAAGCTTGGTGGGCCGCAGGTTGAGTATGGCTGGTTTAGAGGATATACATATGTATTAACATCCAATCACGCGCGATGAAAATTACTTGTCAGATGAATGAATTTCCGGGAATATTTTTAACTGAATAAAAGTGTGCTTGATGTTATCATAAGAAAACACTACCAGATAATGTGAAATGTTTATTAAAGATGATTAACCGAATTTTAAACAATGGGATAGTCTTTACTCTAGAATGATGTTGCTACATTCTTATTTTTGTTGGAATATCGAAAAGAACATTCATTTCACACTCGTTTGAATAGGCAAAATGCTTTTGATTAAAGAAGTTAATGATTTTTTCTTAAATTAAAGAAAAAGGTGATTGTATTTTATTGGATTATGATATACGTAGTAGTGTATATTACATTGTACTTACTATTGTTGCGTTATAAGTTTCTTCAGAACTCTATTACTAATACTGAACTGTGTCCATCTTTAGTCTGCAACTTCAGAAATCATCCGTTTAATATATTAATAAGACTTGAATAGTTGTCTCCGTCATTCACGAAATGATACCAGTTTTTCATAAAAAAACCATTTTTTTCGTTTGACTTCTATTAATTTTCTTATATTCAGTTTTAAAAATCTAGAATTGCATAACACTTATGTTTTTACAATTTACAAATCGCGTACCATCAGACTAGTTTCCGGGAATAATTCACCGGGTGATTTACCTTTTCTCCAACAGAAATTGGAATGTTTAGTTACCACGAGCAAATACAGGTGTTCTTTGATCTTACGGTATATCTAAGCAGGTACAGAGCCATAAGTATTCGGATAATGGAACAATCACTTCTCTGATACTAAACTTCATTTATTTAAATAGAGATCAATAAAATCGATAGTTTGTTTAAATATTTATGGATTGCATATCTGTTTGGCTCTTAAATTACAGAAAATTTTCAACATAAGTAACTGCATAAGAACTACATGCAGTAAATTCTCAATGAGTGTCGAAGGGTCTTCGACACTGACAAGGAGAGGTCTCCAGGTGTAACGCTGACTTTGTAATGAGGTTTAGCACAGTGAAAGAGCTTGGAATACTGAAGATAATGGGATTTGTTTCAGTCACGTATGACCATTAGTTTATGAAATACTTAATGTTCAGTGCCGTAGAGCTTTCCAACACTCATCGAGGATTTACTGTATTTGCAATAAAAGAAAACATTTGTTGCTGGGAGACACTCTGTTCGGATAACAGAATGTTCGAATATTAGGACATTCGAAATCTACTGTACTTCATGGACAAAATATAATAAACTTATTATGTTATTCTTTTAACACATTGACAACCGGTAACGGGAAATCTTATTTTTACAGTGATTGCGGATGTGACCAGTGAAACCAGAAACCTCGTTTTCAGGCACGTTTATTATTTATTGATTATTTCTCAGATAACAGTATTCTTTGTACGTTTGCATATTACTGGCTTTGTTATAGAGGATATTCTCTATTGTCTCGTATCACTGGCATCCCCAGTCATGAAGCAAATGTTAACAAAACTTTATCGGTCACCAATGTGTTAAAAGTCGGCTCTTATTGAGCTTGGGCAGCTCTTAAATCCGTACACGACATTCCACTTCAAAAATAAAACGGTTGTACAGTGAAGCAAATGGAAGTTGAGATGCTTTTTATAGGCGTGGATGCGCTTCGAGTCTTTACTGTTTCAAATTTCTGTAAAAAGTGTTGTTGCAACGTGTAAACAACATTTGTGCAATTATCTTCAATGTTTTAAGAATTTGTTATGTATTTTGTCCATCGAGAATAAGACTGGAGCCACGTCTACTATCAGCTAGTCCTGATATAATAGAGATTATACGGAGCTCGATAAAATGTTGGGTTAAGGCTGTTTCATAAATAATTTGTGCTGTGTATATATATATATTGTAACAAATAATTTTACCTGTTGCTAGGATTATTCAGATAAATTAAGTGCTATCTACGATTTCATTTAAAAGACGATGAAGAATTGTATGATAATCTTCAATATTTTAGGATATTATAAGTACGTATTAATGACTGAAATACAAAAATGTTGTACCGTATTTGTTATGTACACGCACTGTTCGACGTTGTGTGAGTAGCTAGGTCGAAAGAAAGATAATGTCACATTTTTGATACAAAAAAAGAATGACACAACTCAAGAACCTTAGTTTGTCAAAAAATGCAAAAGACTATCACATTTTACAGTCTCACTTTAGACGATAAGATTAAAGGGGCAGGGTAGAAAAATTATTATATAAACGATTTTCAGTTTTTAATTTTTACTCGCAGTAGAAATCTTCTTGAACATTTCAAGACCAATTTGAACAATTTCTGATGAATGGAAGTAAGTTAAATTGACTCTTCAAAAGTTTAATGATGTATGAAGTGCTAAATACACGTCAAATTCAGAACGCTGTCCTGTAAAATCATGTTTTTGCAATTTCAGGTACATTTTTCTCCAGAACTATTCAACCAAATTACAAGTTCATTTTTTTTATTTATTCGTCAGTTTCCGCCTACAAATTAATCGACCGTAATTAGGAAAATATTTGGTATCAGGACAGTTCAGTAAAAATAAAGACCGGAGAAAAAAATATTTTTCTAAAATCAATATTAAAAATTGGCAAACTAATTTATCCCTTCCACGAATGATGAAAATGTTCTCAACAACATGCGATCAATAAAAAAAATTGTTTCGTATCGAAAAAAACATATGTATTCAAATCGGAGAAAAGTGTACCTAAAGTGATAATTTATTACCAAAAGTATTCTTTACCCTGCGCCTTGTAAAAACACATTACATAGTCTCCGATGAACGGCTTTGTTTCTTAACATTTGACAACACGTTTTGAAAAGATGTAGTATGATGTATATTTTGCAATTGGATCATTTATCGAACTGCCGTTTCTAAATTGCAGAATTGAAAAATGTTTTTTTCAGAATAAGACACAATTGTTCAATCGGAATGCGGTCCATATGAATTGACATAGGTACTTTTACCAACGAGTTACAAGCTTCTTGATCCCATGTTTAATAATTTTAAGATGGCTGAAATAAAGCGTATTGGACAACGTCATTTATTATGCAACAACCTAATAATAAGTCTTCACTAATAACATTTTATTAAATTACATATTTAGTGACGGTGGTAACGGAAGTGAGGTGGATCTGTTTACCAAGGTTGTCTGTATGAATGATGAATTTTCATTAAAGATTCGAGCTGTATGTAAGAACAGGAAAATTTGTAAAGGCGGGAATCGCTTCTCCATAAGTTGAATTGTAACGAAAGTAGAGATGTTGTCCTTGTGGCTAATTGGTAGCCCTGTAGTTGTATTTGCGTCACATTTAAACTACGACAAAAATAGAGAGGAAAGCCTCTTTTTTATTCTTATGCATTATTCTG